CATCCGTGAAGTCCTTGTGTCACTTGTTGGATATCATCATATTTCAACTACTACAAAGTGTTAAAGATCGGGTTTTGTGGAGGTCGATGGTCGCCAATGTCTTGAAAAGATAAGGCACGAGAAAAAAATAAAAACTGTATTTCATAAGATCTGCCTCTCTTGATGCAACTGTTTTCAATTTCACGATTGCTGGTTATAAGTCTACTAATGTTGGTCTAATAAAAAATTTATTCTTGTGAAACAATAATTTTATCTTGAAGCAAATTTGGCAAGATTTTTAAAGAATAGCTTCAAGTAATAAATTAACAAGTAACAAAAATTTTCACGGCCAAAAATTATGTAAATGCAATTGAATAATATATGAAATTCAACAAAATAAAAGGTTAACTGAACACAGCAGTTGTGTTTTGTATTGTATTTTATTGTGTTGTATGGTATTGTGTTGTGTTGTGTTTCGTTACGGTAGTTGTCATGAGTCCAAATTTATTTGAATAAAAAATGCAACACCAGAAAAAAAATTCACAACTTAAACTGAAATGAATGATAATTTCAATAATGATAATGTTTTTAATCTGATAACTTTCACACATTTCGCACACCTCAAATATTGCAACGTTAGAAAGTTTTCTTGCATGAATTAATCACTCTAACTTAGTGTAAAAAGAAAAAAAAAACAAAATATAAACACTAAACAGTAACTAAAAGGTACTTGAAAAATGTCATTTGGTCAATTGATAAGATCAATAATAAAAACACATCAGTCATTTATAAGTTGTGCAACAAAAATCCTTTACTCTCTCTCTCTCTCTCTCTCTCTCTCTCTCTCTCTCTCTCTCACACACACACACACTCATACACATCAATTTTTTTAATTCACATCAACTCCACAGACACACATCCATTATTTCAATTCACATCCACCTCACACAAAACACTGAGAAGATGAGGGCATCCCAGATCGTTCCAGCAAGCGTGTCTTCTATCAGCAATCTGCAAGCAATCTTCAGAATTTTCAAGGTTATCCGGCTGAAGTGGTAACCAGTTGGTGTACTTCAGAGGAAGATAAACATCTTTCGATTTCATGGCGAACGGTCTCCAGACGAAAGTTAAGTTAGCTGCTGAAAATACGGTTCCTGAGGTCCATATTTGATAGTCTGGCAATTTGCGCATTGAATTTTAAAACTTAACATTAGATAACTATAAATTACTTTAACCTTCTTTAAGCTTCGTGTATGTACCCTTTCCAAAAAATGGAATAGTTTTCATTTTCAAAATACAACGTACGACTAACCAATTGCTGGAGATTGAATGAATTTGGTGACAGCAGCAGAATCCGACGCAGAATTGATGATGACTGGATGAGAAGCCAACTTGTTGCAAGCGGACCTCGAATCTGACCAGCTGGCCTTGTTATTTATCAAGCGGTAACATTTGCCAGTTTGTACGTCCAGTGTGAAGTCAGATGGACAATCTATGTGTGTGTTCGCGTGTTTGTGTGAGTATGTTTGCGGGGCATCAAAGTGCAGTTTGGGAGTGGGTATGCGTGTGTGTGTGTGAATAAATCAGTTTCTTATTATTTGAATATGGAATGCATACTTGGTAAGCTACTATTAAAAACTTTTTATAAGACCTAATATTATAAGTATAATGTTTTTAAATATATAACCAACCAACCAACCAGAAACTCTTCTGTATGATTTATTAAGATTAGCCAGGGAAGCTGGGTAGAGAAGACAAAGCTTCGAATCTTCCTGATACTCCATACTTTCGCAGTTTAACACGGCACCACTCACGCACAACACTGCACACTTTGGCAAACTCGAAATCTGAACTGACACGGAGGATTCGATGCTTGAGATATTTTCAGCCAGCCAGTCTCTGTAAGCCTCTTGAGCCGTGTAAATGTCGGTCAATTTGACGAATCTAGCCGAATTAGAAGAAAAAACGGCTGAAGAAGCTGAAATCACAATAACAATAAATAATAAAATTTTGACCAATATTGATGTAAACATATTTCGGATAATGACGACTGCAAAAAACAGATCATAAGATAGAGTTAGTTTCAAATAGCTAAATGAAATGCATAGATATACGTGCAGATGGTTCACACATAAAATATGTAACTCATGCCCATGAAACCTCAGTCGTAAATTTATGTAAATCACATATATACATGCCTGAATATGTATGCCATATATATCTTTTACATATACATACATAGATCACACATTTTTATTCGAAAAAATGCAGGATTCTATAAATATGTAACCTGTAAAAAAACATACAACACAACACACATACGATGAATAAGAATTTCTAATAAACGATATTTCAGTCCGTAACTCAACAAAAAGGGTTGGCGATCAATAGAGTAACACGTAGGGGTGATCGTTCGCGCAACTTTTTATCTTTTTTGATGCATCGATTTTGTCAGGCGAATCAGGAAGTTGACTGGCATGAATGGCTTTTGCTGTTTCAACTAACATTACGTAGTGATTTGTAACACCGAATAATTTTTTGTATTTTCTACTTTTTTCATTTTTGAGAACATATTATAATTTTTAAAACTTAGGTATTTTTTTTATACATGAAACTTTTCAACGTAAGTTTTCTCTCTAACTGACAAACAAATGTCTTTTATGAGCGCTCTTAAAAAAGGGTCAACGATCAATGTTTGGATGAATAAATGCTTCCCTACAGTGAACGATTCATCCAGTTTCAACACGTTACCATTCAATACAGCGATGTCATTTTTCATATTTGTCGGCTTAATTTGCTAACTGTGATGTTTTACGTGTGGTGCTACCTCTTCTGTTCGACACTGCATCACCTTTCCTGGAAGGTTGTAGGCGGAACATGCTTCTAATGGATAATTTTCAAATGATAAACAATTTAACAAAAAATTTTCATCGAATTGAATAAATTAAATGAATGATTGGAACAAATTGAATGAATGAACGAATAAATGAATGAACGAATGAATGAACGAACGAACGAATGAACGAACAAATGAATGGACGAACGAACGAATGGACGAACGAACGAATGAACGAACAAATTTCTTGTTTAAATTGAATGAGACTCAACAACACTGTTTACAACGGGAGAAAACCATGGCTCACAACGTGAGGGGACCATGGCTCAAAACGGGAGGGGACCATGGCTACCCCCGCTCCTTCCTCCTAGACCTGGCACTGATTAGTTGTAAGTATTCAAATGTACTGACGTATGTGTTTGTTTTGAGTTGCGTTGTGGTGTCTAGCAAATATTTGTTCCAACTTTCTTTTCCTACTCCAATTTTATTTGCTCTCTTTCACCATGGCTACTACCGTTTACACTTTATTGTATTCTGATTTTCTTAAATATTTAGTTAGGAGGCAATGTTAACTTTTTGGAGTTAGTTTTTTGTTGAAAAAATGAAAAAGAATTTTAAAAACGAAACACAAACCGAAATAATTTAAACAGTATTTAGTTAAACAACCTTACAAGTGAAAGTGTATATTCGTATGCAGAGTATCAAAATGTCCGAAAATATTATTATTATTAATTGTATTTTTTATCTAATTACCCGTTAGCATTAGCATTACTCTTCAATTCCTCATTTCCATAAGCGTTCCACTTACGTAAAACAAAAAACGCAAACTGTGCAAATGAAATGTAAATATTATTTTGTGATGATCGTTGTTATTGCCATCATCTATGTCGTATTTTCTCACCTTCGGTTATTAACAATCAGTTGAATCAATTTATATCTGCCTCACACACCACGCAGAACAGATCAGAGCATGCGAAGTCATTCCATTGCCCTTCCTTGTTACTAATATGAATGCAACCTTCAGAGCCACCCTTGTTATCCGGCTGACTCGGTAACCAGTTTCTGTACATAAGAGGAAAGTAAACATCCTTCGATCTCATGGCGAATGGCCTCCAAACGTAAGTTAAGTTGGTTGGTGAAAATACGGTTCCTGAGGTCCAAACTCGATGAGAGTCAGATAGAATGCACAGCGAATATTGGGAAGCTAATGTGATGAATTTGAGAAAAAAAATATTAAATTCAACGAAGTTTTACATGTCATGGTAAAATATAAAAACTCAAAAAACGACTTTTTCCTTCTCAAAACACAAAGTACGACTAACCAATTGCTGGAGATTGAATGAATTTGATGACAGCAGCAGAATCCGACGGAGAATTGATGATGACCGGATGAGAAGCCAACTTGTTGCAAGCCGACCTCGAATCTGACCAGCTGGCCTTGTTAGTTATCAAGCGGTAACATTTGCCAGTTTGTACGTCCAGTGTGAAATCAGATGGACAACCTGGTTATGTTGCGTACGTTTGCACAAACGCTCCATTCTGTTGTGTTGCTGTGTATGTGTTTGGGTGTGGGCTCGGCAGTCGTGCCAGTTTTACTGAATACGCAAGGGCATAAAAAGCATTTAACTGTCATGAAGATTCATATATAAAAAATATTAATCAACTGACCAAGAATTCTTTTGTAGAACTTTTTTTGATTGACCAGTGAAGGCGGTTGAAGAACACAATGTTTCGAATCCTCTTGATACTCCAAACTCGCACAGGTCGACATAATACCGACACTCTCGCTAACGCACAACTCTGCACATTTCAGCAGACTCGAAACTGAAGTACTCGCACCACTATTTACATTACTCTCAGCCAGCCAGTCCCTGTAAGCATTTTGAACCGTGTAGGAAGCAGCAGACTTCACGAATCGAACCGATTTTGAAAGTGAGATCGGTACTTGTAGCGAATCGGTCGTAATCGAAACAAATAAATTCAACATAGCGATAGTTATCAATAAATCAACAAACAAACGAAGAGCCAATAAAAATAGACCCATATTCCAGATTTGCACATTCAGCGAATGAACTTTCAAATTAAAAAACTTTCAAGCAAAAAACAGACGTGCTGACAAAGTAGTCTTCTTCCACGTTCTGTAACAGAATGATTAATTATTCTGATAGATGGAAGAAACTACACGGAATGTTTGTGTGAACTTTATTACGGTTCAATGCATCGGATAGATACATGAATATATGATCTCATTTCGTAAAAACAATCAAACCACACATGCATACATATATGCATGTTTATATACAACATATATACACATCTACATAAAATACATATATGAGTGTCTGTGCCATCAGTTGTATTATATATAAGTTTAGAATCCCAGACGCATATTAAACTATGAAATATAGACATACGAAATTTGGAGGCAACATTCATTTTACTAACATAGAATAAATTGGATAATTTGATGTAGATGAGTATGAACGAATAAAACAGCTGTCAATGAAAAATATGAAAACTATATAAAAATATTTTAACGGTAGCTAACAATGTGATATATCTTAAGTTAGTACAACAATCGATGTTGTTGTCCCCGTAGTCGTCAGTTAATCTGTCCAATAAGTGACACATATTGGGCATCCCAAGGCAGAAATTGAAATATAGAGAGCTACAAAAATGTCACACGATCACGCTTCTGATTGACCTGCCATACATTAATCTCTTCATATTCGCTGATGCACTTCTCAATGGCGGCCATCTTGAATCCTCTGGCAGTACATCTATCTAAGATGTCGGCCATCTTGAGAGTTCTCCCACCCCCTTCTCTTATCATGTCCTTCACGGTCGAGTAGATTTGGTCTGTGAGACTCTGGCGAGACCTGCGTGGTGAATCAGGTGCTATCGAGTTACTAGATGATCAAAAAGGTTTCGAAATTTTCAGCGAAACTCAATGGGTGATCATTTGATTGAAATCAAACCAATGCCAGACATAGCAACATACATCTTTATTGGTCGTACAGTTTACCGATATATAGCAAATGAATAACCAAACACATTTTAAACTGGCATCAGCATGCTTCATTCATTCCTGTCAGCCACGCACGCTGACTTGGTCTGGTCGCTAGACGCGTTGAGTGAGTCCTTAGACATCTCCATCAACCTCATCGCCTCATTCACGTCATCCTTCTCAACCACATCTGATAATCTCAATCTGGCCTGGAATGTTTCATTTTATTGAATCCATTAATGACAAATTTTGAGCAGAAATAGAAATTTAAATGTATCATATTCGTAGGACATTAGGATAGTTGAAAATGGAAAAAACAACATGCAAAAGCAACCAGCTAACTAACCAACAAACTGACCAGCTAACCATTCAACAAGCCAACTGACCAGCTAACCATTCAACCAGCTAACTAACCAACCTGCTGACTAGCTAACCATTCAACCAGCCAACTGACCAACCAACCAACCAACTGATCGACTGATCAACTAACCAGTGCAGTGGACAGTCTAAGGATAGCCAGTAGTGTTCTGGCAGAGGTGAACGTGGAGTCTTTGTGGTTCCTCGCCTCCTTCCTCATCTCAATGTAGCATCCCGTTATGTAATCCGTCAGAGACTCAGGAATGATTGGATTCTTCCTCTTGCAAAGCATGATGTAACGTCTTTGGATTTGTTGGGAAGGAAACTTGCATTATAATCCACACCACTGTCCCTCGTCATCATTCTCATCGTCGTCATCAACATCATTCTCGGCATTATCATCACCCCAAAACATGTTTTTATTTGTAATCATTTCTTCTAAAAATCAAACTTATTCAGAGAAAAATGATACAAATCAGTAATAAACACTGATTTAAAATGAGCACAGACCTCATCAGCTTCATGTCCAACGGTTCAAACTGAGTAGGCGGTTGTACATTATGCTGGTGTACGTAAGTTATGTGTTGGGCCAGCCTTAACAGAACATGCAAGGATGTTATTATCTTAACATAAAAAATGTCAACACCCCAAAAACATGTAATGTAAAAAACGCCGATAAACAGGTCATAAGCCACACCCATCTTCGGATTTAACAAAACAATGGTTGAAAAAATCCAAACTCATTCAATTTAAACAAGAAAATTCAAAGTGGCAAAATCATTTTTCTTTTACGCATCAATAACAATATCTACATCAACAATATCTACAACACCAATGACATAAAAAAAACATATGACATCAACAACAGCATTAGCAGCAACAAAAACAATTAACAA